TTACATGGATCGCGCGGAAACGCGGAAGAAAAAGTAACTCAACTTTACTAGAGTCCCGCATTTCCGCGCGTTCCTTTCCGTCTGTTTTGATTGCCTTATATTACATGGACACAGATTAATAGACAGATCGCCAAAGGTCTGGATGAAGGAGAGACCAGCATTTCTCACTGATTTCAGCGCCATATCGTAGTAGTGTCAATGCAGTAACTATTAATACGTTCCCAAGATAAGAGCGTCTCATGCTCATGAACTCGTCCGGCGGCATGTACGAGATTTATCTTTTCGTAGCGTTCGCGTATTTCGGAAAGGACAGAATTTTATGATGTTATAAATAAATAAATAAATAAAATATTAACCTGACCTATTATAATTATTTTTTAATAAATGTTTCATTATTATTATCATCTAAGTCTAAGTCGTTTAATTAATTTTTAGTTTTTAATAATTAATTTAATTTATTCTAATCATTTTAATATGTGAAAAATACTAATACGTATACGTTTTATAATGAATTAATATATTTCGAGAGTCGAATTATATATTTTTAATAATATAAAAGTGTTCAAAAATTATATTTGACTTTTAATTTTAATTATTTTAGCAAAGAGTTCCGAAATCTCTTACACACATAATAGGGATTTTGTTCATCCATATAATTCGCAATTAAGTATATATGTTAATTATTAATTTAATAAAATACAAAATTAAAATTAAAGGTCAAATATAATTTTTGAACATAAATATATTTAATTCGTTATAAAACGTATACCCGTGATAGTATTTTTCTCGTACAAAAATAACTAGAACAAATTAAATTACTCATAAAAAAATTAAAAAATAATTAAATAATTTATATTATATATGATAATAATAAAACATTTTATAAAAAAAACAGATTCAATAAATATAAGTATATATATAACATGTACTTATATTTATTGAATCTGTTTTTTAATAAAATGTTTTATAAGCTTAGAAAACTTGACTTTGACGTAACTAGCAAATTTTATTTAATTATTTCACGACGGTTTGACGTAATAAAATGTTTTATTATTATTATATAAAATATAAGTTTAAATTCTTTAATTAATTTTTAATCTTTTATGATTAATTTAATTTACTCTAATTATTTTTGTACGAGAAAAATACTATCATGGGTATACGTTTTATAATTAATTTAATATATTTGTGTTTAAAAATTATATTTGACCTTTAATTTTAATTTTTTTTTTATTAAAATTAATAATTAACATATATACTTAATTGCGAATTATATGGATGAAAAAAATCCCCATTATGTGTGTAAGAGATTTCGGAACTCTTTGCTATAAAATAATTAAAATTAAAAGTCAAATATAATTTTTGAACACTTTTATATTATTAAGAATATATAATTCGGTTCCCGAAATATATTAATTCATTATAAAACGTATACGTGATATTATTTTTCTCATATAAAATGACTAGAATAAATTAAATTAATTATTAAAAAACTAAAAAGTAATTAAACGACTTAGACTTAGATGATAATAATAATGAAACATTTTATTAAAAAAAGATTCAATAACTAGTAGGTCAGGTTATAATTTTTTATTTATTTATTTATAACATTATGAGCTATTAAGCTCATCATCTCGTTCGCTCTCTGTCTTGCTTTCATTCGGCAAGTCACAAACGATATATGATACTCGTATGTTCCTACTTCAACTCTCGAGAATCTGAAACAAACGAAACTCGTGTCCAATATACAGGGTGTCCGGTAACTAACAGACCAATGATTACAAATGGATTCTTTGGTCAATTTGGGAACGATTTTTCCTCAGCGAAAATGTCGAAAAAGGTCATCATTTTTTACAACTTTCCAATCTTTGTCATTATGTATCTTTATAACTAAGCCTTAAATTAAAATTTTATTATAGTAAACTCTACCTGAAATTAACTGAAGAATGTAATTATGTTAGACTTTTAACTCCAAAACGTTTAGTTTTCAAAAAACCTATTTTTTTCAATCGCTTATAACTCGAAAATTATTGACTTCTCAACATTTTTGCTAAGGAAAAATCGTCTCCAAATTGGCCAGAGAATCCGCCCTTAATCATTGGTCCGTTAGTTACCGGACACCTTGTATATATTATATAAAAGTGTATAGCACGTCAGAAGCTTGTGAGCTTACAGCGATAAGTAAAAACAATTGCGTATTTATTTCATTGCGTTTATCTGTTTAAACGCGCGCTTTAATTTTTCCAACGTTTTTGCCTGTTTATATTTTAAAGGTCCTCTCTTCTAAAAATCTTGTTTTAAAGATCCTCTCCGCGAGCAAAATTCGAAAACATAAATTATTTAATATTTTTACTTTATTATTTGTAAATCCTCGGTAATTTCAAAATTTTTCTATTTGAAAATTATTAATTTTCTATTGCCAATTAATTTTATCACAGACTTTACTCTTACTCCCATTGCACTTTCGTTTGCGGTTTTCAGTATACGATTTTTTATCGTAGTTACTGAAATTATTATTGTGAATTATACTTGTGCAGTGATTTGAAGAATTTACAATTTCGTTGAAATTGTTGATTTTTCAAAAAAATTACGAGATTCGCGGAAATTGCGTGCTTTCTTGGCATTTTCCGTTCGCGGCAGGCGGTTTATTTTTGATTGTTGCAAGTGTTTTTTTTTTTTTTTATTAAAATAGATAATAATAATGTGAAATAAATCACGATATTTGACAGATGTGCATATATATAGAAATTGTAATAATAATAATATTATATCATAAAATTGTAAATTGTTTCAATTTTTTATAGACTGCGATAAAAGATTTTACATTTGGATAAGAAACTGCGGTAAGTAAAAATATAAAATTCTTGAAAACGTAAAAATATTTGATAACGTAAAAAGGTGAACTTTGAAAAATAAGGAACTTAAAAATTGCACTAATAAATGGGCTATATGTGAGCCGTGCGCGGATGTAAGGTGTGTTATATCGAAATTTAATTAATAGAATTGAGAATTAATCCCAATTTTAAGTCTTACAAATGTCCAAGCTAATTTTTTGTACCTCGTGTACATTTTTGAAAGTTATATCGAAAAATTAAATTTCAATATGCGTCTTACATCTCACATTTCGCATACGGCTCACATATAGCCTATTTATCTCTTATACTTTATTTCAACCCTTATAGAAATTTATTACTAGTAACGCCAATTTATCACTTATTTCGAGTAATTAATCACTTTTATTTCGAATACTTAAATTACTGTATATTATAGTATTTTAAATACTCGAAATAAGTGATTAATTGGCGTAGTGATAAATTTCTACAAGAGAATAAGGAGCCTTTAAATTCTTAATGTAAAAAATTTCAAGTAATTTTCTTTAATAAAATTTAATTAAAAAATTTAATTAAAAAATTTTTGAACACTGTGTTATATCACATTTAAAATCGTGATTATTTCAATAAAAAAACATTTTATGTGTAAAAATATATTTTTTATATTTAATAAATTTTATATATATATATGCATATATGTAAAATATTCTCTCTCTCTCTCTCTCTCTCTCTCTCTCACACTCACACACACACACCACACACAACGGGGGCCAAATCTCTCAAATTGGTCTCATGATCAATTAGCCTGGATTCGCACCAGGGGCAAAGTCTGTTGGTAATGTCAAACGAATTTAGCCTGGACTTGCACCAGGGGCAAAGTCTTTTGGTCGAGTCTACGAAATTTAGCACGGACTCGAACCAGGGGCAAAGTCTTTTGGTTCAAGTCTACGAATTTAGCACGGACTCGAACCAGGGGCAAAGTGTGTCGGTAAGGGGCAAAGTCTATCGCACGAAGATGGCGGTCTCTTCTTTAGGCAGGCCTTTGGCGATCTGTCTATTAATCTGTGACATGGAGCACATTTTGAGCGAAAAGGCGGAACGGTAAGTGACAAATAGACATTTGTATTAATTTTTTAAATTTATATTTACTTATTCATTGTAATTCCTTTTAATATGTTCATCTTTTCAACTTATCTATTGAATACAAGCATTTTAATCAATAAATATAGTTAAATATTAATATTTTATAATTCCCCGTTCCGCTTTTCCGCTCAAAATGTGCTCCATGTAATATAAGGCAATCAAAACAGACGGAACGGAACGCGCGGAAATGCGGGACTCTAGTAAATTTAGTTACTTTCTCTTCCGCGTTTCCGCGCGTCCATGTAATCGCACCCTAATTTGATTGGACAAAATTTGCGTCGCGCATTACGTATTGGTCTTTATTTTTCTTCCTCAGTTGGCTACCCTAGCCGAAGCAGACGACTTCTGGACGAGTTGCCATCTTGCTTGCGCGAGAACTGTTGACAGAAAACGTGCGGTTTCGTGTAATTTCAGCGAAAATGATCAATTCGACGAGCATGGTTGCTCGGCAGGCGGTGAGGAGGTTTATGACGAGCGCAGTTCGCAGGGGAGGTCACGATCCTTACGACGGTGTGCCAGGATACGTAAGTGACAGTTCGTCCGATTACATAACGCTCGAACGTGTGAAGTATTTGTATATTGCATAAAAAATCTTTTAGCTGTTATCTTATGTCTTATTTATTTATTCTACATTTTATAATATATATTCTATATTTTATAATTTCTATTGTCTTCCACAGAACTTACCATTCAGCACGCAAAACAGGCATAAATTGTTGGCCCTGTTTATGATCTTCTGCGGTAGTGGATTCTCCATTCCCTTCTTAGTGGTCCGTCACCAGTTGTTGAAGTAAATTTCTGGTATGTATGTGAGGAATGTCATTTTTCAATCATCCAAATTTTTGATGAAGATTTTAGTGTAATAAAAATGCTGGTTTTTTTCAGGTTAACCTGGATGCATTGTAGTAGTGTAGTATCATACCAATGCTGTAAGGCTGTACAAAAATTATTGCAATAGGAAATGTATGTGTTTATAATAAAAATCATTCTTTAACATATGACATTTGTCATATCTAAACTTAACTTTGAATTTTTACAACAATGTTAATGGAGATAATCTAATTTCTACAATCTTACAAATACGAGGTATTTATGATTAAATAAAGGCTGCTTTTCACGGCCAAGATATTATTTAAATAAATATTTTTTATTTTAGTTTATCGTCAAGAAAAGATTTGATTTATAATTTTTTCTTTAATTAAACATCTATCTGCACACAGTCTTGTTATATATTAAACTATTGTAACTATAAAATATAAATATAACTTCTACATAAGATAGAAAAATTTGTTTTAAATCACTTTTCTTCAAGTTACTCATTGAGTAAATCTTATGACTAAATATTTACATTTTATTTATGTTTTTTTTTCTTTTTTGTTAGTAAATTGATGAGCTACTGATAATCATAAAAATAATTGTGTTAAAATTCCAAAAAGGCTTGATATAATTCCAAAAATAAAATAATTTATAGATATATGAAGAACATGGAATATAATATCAAGAGCAAATTAATAATAGTTTACATATCGAAACATTTTATATTTGTATATGCTATGCGATAACATTTATATTATAACATATGTTTCAATACAATAATACAATAATGTCTCATAATTATTTTATATAATTATCTCTTGACAGGAAAAATAAATGTGTGCCTATCGGACGGATGTTACATACAAAGTAAAATTAAATCTAAATATTTATACAATCTTATCTTTCTTAGACTACACAATTCTCTTCTGCGCTATTTGTAACATATTCTGATATATCGCGTCTTTTATCATGTATCGAAATCACATTCTGGCAGTCGGGGTCCTTTACGATATGATTGCTTTGAATAATCTATATAAATTTATTATACATGCGTGAGAATACGTAAAATTTATATAAAGAAGAAATATCAAAACTTACATTTTCTATACATTAATATTTATATATTAGAAAATGCTTACAGTTGTTATAATCTTCATGAGACCGATAAGAATCCGGGCAAACGATCGGAGTATTTTTTATACGATGCGATCCCCATTCATCTTCACGTACCTATAGTGATCAAAAGCAAATTTTTTTAATTTTATTCAATAATAATCTTCGATTCTCTGCTCAAGTTAAAATGATAAGATATTCTATTAAATAAAAATTTATATATTTATTTGTAATATATATAATTTAATATATATATATTATATATATATATATATATATATATATATATATATATATATATATTATGTATTATTTTACAAACCCGCATCTTTTCGTATGTTCCTCTTTCATTTTGTTTTCGACGTTTTTTACTTAGATACAATTTTTCTTTCTTTTTTTAGCTTTGTTTTCATTATCCCATTGCTGATCTTCATTTTCACTTTCATCTTTAATTAATAATTGCTCCTGTGTAGGATTCTGTAAATTAACAAAAATCATTTATTATATTGTTTCACAATTTCTTTTTTCTTTTACAATTGTATAATTTTACCTCTTGTTCAAATGCGTCTTCTTTAGGTATAATACTAGCTATCTGTTTTGCGCAAATTTCTTCTTAGCGCAGCAGATTATCCATAAGAATAGCAAAAATATCGATAGCATCACGCCGAGACTTGCCAAAGTTATCATTATAGCGGAAAAGAACTCCAGAGCTATAAAAGAACAACTTATATATGCATATATTGTATGTGCAATACTTTATAAATATAAAATAACATCTTTTAAAATGAGGAAATCTTATAAAAGAAAATATCTACTTTTTGTTAAATATATATTTTTTAATTAAATATATTTTTACTTCAAAGGACATCTCCATTTTAGTAGATATCTTCATTTTAGATTATATATTTTCACTGTTAAAGTATAAAGATATATTTAATTTAAAAATATTATATTAACAAATTTAAATAGATATCTTCATTTTAAAAGATTTCCTCACTTCACAAGATATTTTTATTTTATAAAGTAGTTAGATGATATCTTCATTTTAGTAGATATTTTTATTTTAGAAGATTTCGCGCGTTTCAAAGGATATCTTTACTTCTGAAGTAAAGCTATATTTAATTTAAAAATATATTAACAAATTCAAATAGATATTTTCCTTTTAGAAGATTTCCTTACTTTAGAGGATATTTTTATTTTATATTTATAAAATATTTAGATGATATCTTTATTTTAAATGAGATTTTCATTTTAGTAGATATTTTAATTTTAGAAGATTTCAGAGGATATTTTTACTTCTAAAGTGGAGATATATTTAATTAAAAATATTATATATTTAACAAATTGCAATTAATTGGATATGTACCATATTATAACAGCCTTTGGTCAATGGATCAGTGCACGTACGACAAACTCTGGCACCATGATTCGGTTGATACATACCGGGTGGGCATTTTTTGCAGTGTGATATTCCGTCTTCGCTATAAGTTCCCATATTACAGGAACTGAAAGTATATTTTAATTTATTTATATATGCACTTTGTGTGTCTTATCAATATCGTGTGCAAACAAAAATATAATACATACTACATGTGTGCTATGAAGACCATATCCAGCCGGGCAGCTGGAAAACAGGCCGATATTGCTAGTTTTTCGGGCAAATCCATTTGTCCTTCCTCTTTTCCATCTTGCAAACGTGGATTTTTCAGCGATCGGAACCAATCTCTGCTCATAATGAGGTAATCTGAAAATAACTGTAGTTAAAGAACTCTATAGAGATGCTATTGTAAATTGTAAAGCCGCAACATTTCTCTTCTATAAGATTAAAAGTATTTAATCAATTATTTCTTATTGTGTATAAAATATTAAAACATTTTTTTGATAAAATAAAAAATAAGCCATATTTAAAAATCTTTTGCATTAAAATACATTAGCATTTAAATTTTTTAATAAATATTATGCGTGATTTTCGAATTACAAAAAAAATAGAGAATATGTTGCGGCAAAATAAAACGAGTACACAGATATCAACTAACTAGTTTTCGTAAGAAGAGTTTTTAAATTTTTACTCAGTATCAACGAAAGTTTTGTTCTGAATGGCTTGAAGACAAAAGACATTGCAACGTTTGGAATCGATTGTCATCAATTTGACGATATGCGATGGCAATAACAAAATATTTATTGTGATCTATAACAAAGCAATATCACATTCTTTCTAAATTAGAGGGACTTGCTGAATAAATAAAACATTTTTATTTTATATAATATTTCGAAACGTACTTGGCTTCGAGAGCAAGATGGTGTCAAGATATAAGCATTGCAAATATCTGTCTCGCATATAATATCATTCAGTTTAACTGGAAGATACGTCATCAATATGTCCAAATCCCTTCGTCGCAGATAAATCGCATCATCGCATAGTAACGATTTTCACCGTGTATAATGTATCTTGGTAGTGTTACAACTGTAGAAGATTATCTTCATAATTTGGTAAAATTAAGTTTCAAAAAGAAATACGAATATATTTCGATAAAATAATTATTTCGATATTTTGTTTCAAAAATAAATACTCGATAAACAAATATTTAATACACGATAAAATATTAAGTTTCAGAAAAAATATAACTCGACAAAATAAATATTTCGAAGAAAAATATTTGATAAAAAATATTAAATATATATTTGACAAAAAAATATTAAATACTCGATAAGAAATATTAGTTTAGTGAAGTTAAGTTTCGAAAAATATAATTCGGTAAAATAAATGTCACCATAATTAATAATCGATAATTCACCTTGCAAACGAACTTCGTAGATAGTTTCTACAGGTTCTTCAGTCTCAGGCCCTATATATGTCGCAATACATGTGTAATTTCCTGTATCTTTGGCATTTACGTTTCGCAATGCCAAATCACCGTTTTCAGCCACAAAACCTGCAAAAAGTTAATAAAGATTTCATAGATCATAGATATCGTTACGTAAATTAATTAAAATATTCTAATATATTTTAATAAAAATATATATATATATTTTAGTATTAAAATGTCAATATGCAAACCAAAATTGCGATGCCGTCGGTCCTTTTCCATACATAACTCGGTCTGCTGATACTCGATAGCCAAGTGATACCATCCCCGTCTTGATTACAGGGCAAATTAAGATTAAGACCGGGCAATGAAACGATATCATGATCTAAAAAAAGGATAAAACTCAATACAAAAGAATTTGTATTTGCAAAAAAATTGCAAAAAAAAATACCATTGCCGAGTTCCAAATCGCTCTTAATAAAATCATCTTCCAACTCTTTCAGCTTGAGATATTTTTGGCCCTTCAACGATTCGATGTTATAATGAGGCTGTGGAAATTCTTTAGCTTCTTCCACGTCAGAATCCATCAAAATCACTATCTTATCCTGGGTCTCTTTATATACGCTACAATTAAGCTCCTTAATTTCGTCCAACGAAAAGCTTACTCTGTTCAATATAGATTTTATATTCTTAATCACGTTCACGATATCGCAAATGCAATTTAAATAATGTTTTTTTCTCTCGTTATTCCTCACTTTCTTATCATTCTTGTTGTTATCGCTGCTTTTTGTAATTGTTTTGTCCGAATTTTTTTATTTACGCTACAGCTGTCTGTACAACTTTTAAAAGAGTGCAAACTAATGTTTTGTGATTTTTGCGATTTTGCTGATTGTCTCTTTCTAGTTTTATCTCTGATATTTATACTATCTTTAGATTTAATTATTCGATGCTTTGATTCGTTTCCATTGACACTACACAATTTTCGAGTTTTTGCTGTTATTAAATCTTTATTGCTAATACGCGAAGAAAACTCGTCAGGTTTTCTTTTCACTTCGGAATTCTGTTCGTGTCGATTCAATTCGCGCAATTTTGCGTATTCTTTCGCGTTATATTTTTAAGACCGATTTTTTGCTTCTCCATATAAATATTATACTTTTTCGTTTTATTATTATAAACATTCGTTTGTTGTAATGTATATTACGTTTCATTTCCGCGTCGGTGCTTATTTTATTTTTAGGACAACGTAGAGACACGTTGTTCTAGTAACCGATACGTTAATAGCTTCGCTTTCTTCAGTTGTAAAACTAAATACAACTGACGGTTCCGTAACTTCGAGTTCCCAAAATCTAGTGCCACCCAGGTGATACGTCGTACTTTTTTCGTAGGCCATATTTGATTTAATAATTTTGCTTCATTTTCCATCTTGCTTTTATTCTCACCTCTGTCGTGTAAAAATTTATCGTCACGTATCGACACCGATGTCGTATGTTCTTCATAATTCATATAATCTACAATATAACAATTATTAGAAAAAGAAAAAAATTACTTTTTCACATATTATTTATATAAAATTAGGTTATAGAAATAAAAATAGAGTATAATATTATCTGAAAATAGAAGTTTACACAGTTAATAGTAGATATATAATTATATATAAATTATTTTATATATAAAATATTATTATATAAAATATAGTTTATATGTATAATTATAGTTTATATGTGTGTATAATATATATCACTCCAAAATTTTTTTTATTTTTAATTGTACAAGAAAATGTTTCAAATAAAGTTGTTTGACTTATAGAAAGACAGAAAATGGCGCTACTAGCTTTTTCTAAAAGTGACTTTTCAAGATCATTTATATTTTTTTTAATTAACTATTATTTTTTTTATATATAAATTGTATCGAAAACAAAAAACATCTCCATCTCGGCCAATAGAGCCAAACGTGATGTTATTACGAAAATTTAGAAAGAAAATTACAAGAAAAAATAAAAAAGTTTTTTTAAAGTGATCGATTAAATGGGACATTAATTATATTTTTACAGTTGACAATGTGCAAAAACATTATAACAAATAAAAATAAATAAATCCGTAGAAATTAATGATATTCAAAAAGGGCTCTATTTATTATACTTTCGAACATATCCTCGAAAGACTCATCTTCTGCTGATTTTTCTTCCTCCTGTAGATCGTTTCCCTCTTGTAAATTATTTTTCTCTTCATAGTACGACGTTGCAATCTTATCATCTTCCTCAAATTTGGTAACATCACTGTCGTCATTTGACTCAGATATAATCATTGCTAATTCGTCTTTATTCGGTTTAGCGGATATTACTTCATGCGTCTCTCTGTCTTTATTATAGCTGAGATGTAGCACGTTTACCGTGTAAAATTCATCCTCTTTTTCACCTAATTTCTCTTCCTCGATTATTGCACTTGTAGCTTTTTGATTCGAAACGCTGGCTGTATTTTTCTCTGCTGGCAAAACATTTCTCTTTTCAATACATTTACCATTGTTATTGGAGAAGTTATTCCTTCTTGCAGAAATTAAATTATGTTCGATGAAATAAGCCATTCTTTTTCTGTATTTCTTAACTAACGTAAAAGTTTTTGGAAAGTTATTTTCATAGGGATCAAGAATACGTTGTTCGTAAAGAGAAGTTTTACCTCGAAAATTATGGATAGAATCTTCTTCTGTATTAATGGGAGAAATATTTTCCTTTTTTCCATAGATCCTGGTGAAACCTTTAAAATGTCGCATTGGTTTTGTGATTCCGTTACTCAGCCATTCATGATGCGATAATTGCAAGTTATCAATTTACGTGTCGTTCCTATCTCTCCTCTCGCTCGTTTATACCGAAAATTTGATGAAAATTTCGAAATTTTAACTTCCTAATTTCTCTCGTATTTTTCAACGAGAGAAGCTTTCTGTTTACACGACCTACCGACTTCTGTTCTCTGTTTTTTTCAGGGAAATATGATAGACACACTTTCTTTGCTACAAAAGGAATCGTCGTATTTTCCAGAACGTTCAGGCATATTCTTTTCGTCACAATCTCTTCTTCCATCTTTTGTGTCACGACCTTTTCGGGAACATATCTTGTCCGCTTTTCCTCTTTAATATCTTTCACTTTTGTAGCCTTGTATGGCGAAGTCACCATTTTTGTGGTAGTTTGATTTTCTTTCTGGTCGGTTACTTTTTCAATCTGCGTTGCTACTTGGATTTTTTCGGTCGGTGGGACAAGCGTTGATAAACTCGTCGGCACAATCGGTTTTTCAGACAATGCAATCAATGTGCGCAATGTTTCCTCTTCCTTGACTTTTTTCATATACAATTCAAATTCCATTATATTATTCTCTAATTGTTTCTCTCTTTCCAGCAACATTTGTTCTCTCTTCTCCAGTTCGCGTTCCTTCTTGCGCAATTCTTCCTTCAGACTCTCTATTTCTTCATCATATTCCATCTCCTTAATTGCAATAGCTGTAGTTGTCTCAATAAATGCTAATGAAGTGACAGAAGATTCGCTATAAATGTCTACTGTTTTTTCCGTAATATACGAAATAGAGGTTGTACTCGAAATAGGTGAAGTAATACCAATAGTCGGTGTGATTAGACTAATTAATGTTGTCATTGTAGTGAATGGAAAAGCACTACAAAGAGTTACATAACTTGTAGTATATCTTTCTTTTGTAATAACTGGGATCGCTATTGAAGTTACACCCATTTTATATGAACTGGTAAATGTAGCAGTAGGTAAAGTAGTGAATTCGTCAATAGCCAAAGTAATCGGACTGGTGAACACCATCGTAGGCAAAGTAAATAAAGGTTCACTCAGGTAAGCGGTTTTATAACTCGTAGTGTACATTTCTTCGGTGGTGGTTTCGATCGAAACCAAACTGACATTATATAAGTCTACAACAGAGGTACTTTCCTCCGTAGTATAAAGTATAGCCGTTTCCTCTGTTACTTCTGCCATATATATTGAAAACACAGAAGTACTTTCTTCCGTAGTCTCTTCTGTCCATTCTGTGATGTTAGTCGCAAATATACCTTCCTCTGTGATGTATAATGGCGTTGTTTGATGAAAGTTGTAATAATCTCGGCTAAACTCGACGTCTCGAGAAGAAAAGATGTGATTTTAATCTCTACAGTAGGAGATACAGTTACAGTAACATAACTCGCAGTTGTACCACTCACTATTGTAATATTCTTTGTCTTCTCCCTTTCACGATGCATTATTTCCTCATGTTTCTTCTTTTCCCATTGTCGTTCCTTTTCCTTTAACCTTTCCTCTCTCTCCGCCACTTCTCTCTCACGCTGCTTGAGATCCTTGAGTAGTTGCAGTAACTGTTTTCTCTGTTCCTCTCGCCTAATTGTAGTTCGTCTCGTAATAAATTCGGTTTCAATTTCTGGGACAGTTGTGGTATACGGAGTAGTCTCTTCTTTTGTAATTAACTTCGTCGCCAAAGTGATTACTTCGGTAGCAGTTTTTATCTCTGAGGTTGTTACCCCAATAGCTTCTCTTTCCGATAATGTCGTCAACGTTGATGAGACGAAAAAGGAAATCAACTTCTCCACTGAAGTAAATTCAATCTCCGTCGAAATTTTTTGTAAAGTCGAAATCTCTTCCGGCGCGGTAACACTATACCAGATCTGCGTCAAAAATTTTGATGTAGGTTCTGTATATTTGGCAGGAATCGTCAGGTATTCAAGCGGTTTCGTGATGATTTCGAAAACTGTCGAAGGGAGAAGAGTATATTCTTCCGTAGAGCCAAAGGTTAACGTCATTATTGTCGTCGATTCTTCCTCTTTACTCGTCATGGATGTTGTAAACATGGTTTCTACTTCAGTCGTCGTTACATTCTCAATAATCTTCGCAGATGTTTTCAAGATAGAAGTTATAGTAAATTTTTCTTCAACGAATGTGTAAGGTATTTTTGCGGTAGTTGTAGTTAAAATTACATCAGTATGAGTCGATATAGAAGTTGTAGAATACATTGTAAACTTTGAAGTTTTTATTTCATACGAAGATGTTGTACCTTTATCAAAAGATGAACTTGTTGCTGTTTCTTTAGGCAGTTTTGTATATTTTACTGTACTCGATGTCGTAGTCGTTTTACTCTTCACCGTAGTTTCATACTCTTCATAATAATACCAATTATCAGTGGGTATTTCAGTATCGTATTTCTCATACTCTTCATATTCTTCATAGAATGGTTCCTTTGCTACGTAATATTCTGTTTCGGCTTCTGGCATTTCCGTAGTGATCGCTGTTAAAGTTGAAATAGTGGGCTGAATTCTTCTTTCGGTAAATATGTTGAACTTTCTAAAGTGAATGTTATTGATGGACTTGTTAATTTCGTTGTAAATTCTCTCTTCCTCCGATATAGTTTCTGATAATACGGAAATAACTTCCGGCATAGTAGCGGATGTTTCCGTCGTAATTAATATTGACAAAGTAAATTCGGACAGAGAATTAAACGTCATATCAGATTTTAAGATTGTTATTTGCTCTAGTTTTTCAGTAATTGGCAATGATGTAACAGATGTTGTTATCTCTTTTATCAAAGAAGATTCTTCAGTTATTGTAGTAAAACTAACAGCTGTAACTTTTGCGATTGTGGATATTTCTTCGCTACTTATAGCACTAACTGTTTCCATTTCAAACAAAGTTGTTTCTGTCGTGATTTCGATAGAAAACATTGTGGTAGATAATGGTACATACGTCATTAAAGTTGTCGCTTCTGTGATAATGGTTTCTTCTGTAGTGATCCAAGTTGCAATAAGCTCTTCCGTTATTGATTCAACTAAACTCGTTGTGGAAACTATTTCAGTTAACGATATAGTTGTCAAAGTTAACTCTTCGGTCATTTCTATCAAAGACGTATTAAAAGTTATTTCACTTAGCGTTGTATTTGTACCCACAATTGATGGAATTAGCGTTGTTTCCTGCGTAACATCGAACGGAGATGTTGTAATAACAGGACTCATTGGAAAAGTCGCGGTCTCGATTGTTGCTGTTTTAACGTGGTAAAAATAGTGGTGAACAGTGTTTTATTTATTGTTACACTTGTATTTAAAAATGTCATTGTAGTCATTAATATAGACAGTGTAGTTGGCTTTGTTTTAATTGTAAATATTGTAGTTGGTTTAATTGTAGATATTGCAGTTAATTTAATTGTAGATATTGTAGTTGGTTTAATTGAGGATATTGTAGATGTTATTGAAGAAGTTGTAGTCTCAATTTCTTCTGTCAAAAAGTACATGGCGTTTCGCTTAGCGTTGTATTTGTGACCAAGAATAATGGTGTGGTTAATTTTAATGTAGTAAGTATAGTTGGTAGTACTGTGATTTTACCAGAAGTTGTAGCAGATTTTGTCGTTATTAATAACGTAGTTGGAAATGTCTTTGTTGTAGTGACTGTAATAGATATTGAAGTGCTCTCAATCGTTTCGGGAATTATTGAAGTTTTGATAGTCGTTAGAATTTCGGTAGTTGTTGGACTTTCAATTAACGTCGAGATTTCGGTAGTCGTTGAAGATTTAATGGTTGTTCGAAGTTTGAAAGATAAAGTGTTGATAATTGTTGAAATTCCAGAAGGCGTTAGAATTTTTGTGATTGTTGCTTTTATAGTGGTTAGAACGGTTTCGGTTCTTTTTGTAGGTGAAACTTCGGTAGTTGTTGGAGATGTTAAAGTTTCATTAAACATTGAAGTGTCGCTAATTATCGAAATTTTAGTAGTCATTGGAGTTTCAATAATTGTTGGGGTTGCCATCGTTATTTCTTCCGTTGTTATAGTTTTCTCGATCTGCGTCACTGGACTCTCTGTTTCCGGTATTAAAGTAATTATAGTAATCTCTGTCGATGTGCTTAAAATCGTCTCTGTTCTTTCCGAAATTGTAGGCGAGCTTGTGATTGCTGTGATAGTTGAAGTTATTGATGTTTTAGTTGTACCTTTAGTTATCTGCGCAGTTGAAACAAATTGTGTGGTTGGTAAGTTATATATTCTGTAATAGTTGTACTCTCTATAGATGTCATTTTAATTTCTCCGGCGGCTAAACTAGCTTCTGTTATTTTTGCAGTACTTGCCGACGTTATAGCTTTATACAAAGTTGTATTCTCATCTAAAATAACTGTAGATTTAGTTATCATTATAGTTGGACTTATAACTGTAACCATTTTTTCAGTTACAGAAGTAGCTTCTTCTATCGGTATTGTAATTCGAGGTTGTTTTGTAACTATCAATGATGTTAAAACTGGTATGGTAGGAGTTGTTGCTTGAATTATCGATTCTGCAGTTTCTGCAGTTATAAATGATGGTACGGTCAAAGTTATATACAAAGATATGCTTGTTTCGGCAGGGAAACTTTGCATTACCTTCATCGTCGATGTACTTTCTACAATTTCTTCCTCAGTCGTGAATGCCTCCTCGATTAAAGTTGTCAAAGTAATCGCAGGAACTGTGATTCTTAAAGTAATATTTGTGATACCTTCTAAAAATGATGTTAACAGCATGGCAGATTTGGTTGTCAATTTTACCGTAGAAGTTTCAGTCACTTCAGTAAGCATCGCAACAGCCAACGTTGTTTTTTCAATTTGAAGGATTTCATTAATCGGAAAAATTGGTAGTTCTGTCGTATAAAATTGTGACGGTGTAGTAGGCATCGTTATCGTGAAAGCACTCAACGTAACTGACAATTGTGTCAGTGATATAGCTTCCACAACTTCATAACCTATTTTCTCCTTTGTTGTAGATGTCTCCATAGTGGTAGTTATTGATCTCTCAATAGGATAGGGCAAGATTGTAATGCCAAAAAACTCTGTAGTTGAGATCAGCGACTCTGTTACAATGTTAGTCAGTTCCACATAAGGTTTCTTCGTCATGTCCAACAATCGAAGTATGTCGAGATAAGCCGTCGCTTCCCTAAAAAATGAGATTGCGGGTCCACGGAAGAATATTTCTTCTCCTTGTCGCTAGACAATTTACTCGTTCCACTGTATCGCGTTGTCAGCTCTCGTTTCTTATTTAATAAAAAATTTATTTTGTTATCTTTTACTTTGTCTGCGAACTCGTTTAATTTTAAGTTTCTATGATTATTGCGCATTTTGCGATCACTGCTACTCGAGCTTCCTCGTTTGTGCAGCGGTGTTGTTAATTTATTTAAGAAGTAGTCGTTAAATTTTCTCTTAAATTCTACATCATTATTCATCCGATCTGTAATATTTTCTATAATTTTAATCTGCTTCTTGTCCAGAGATTGATCGTCAGAACTTCCTATAAAGAGATCGAAATCATCCTTGCTATTAATTAACTCTGCAATATTCGTGGTTTTTCTCTCTTTACTATCTCGTTCGATCCTCGCTGATCTGATAACATTTTTCTTATCGCACAGTCCGTTTTGTACGTCGCTAATACTTTGGTTGACCAATTTAACAGCGCTTAGCAATTTTGTTAACTCCGAGGACAACGGTTCAATTGCCTTTAATAAAGCGCGTGGGTTCCCCACATTAGACTGCTCCTTCTTCAATGACCACTCATTGGTGACGGAAAGTAATAAAGAGGATGTTGTGTAATCTTCGACGTTAAGAAACGAATCCAATTTCATAGTATAATTATTAAACAATATTTCATCAATAAATTTGTTGTAATTGAAATCGTTGGAATAAGTCGATTTCTCATCAGTAAATTCGCTTGAAATTGAGGTTCCAGATTTCATATTATTTTCATTTCTATCTAGATTATTTAAAATATTCTCAGCATTATTAAAAAGAAATGATCGGTATTCGGGAAAGTTAAACGATCATCTTCCTTAAGATACGAAGATACGTCATAATTTGGTGTATCGAAAGAAGGAGATGTCAATGGGAATATGAAAGAATTGTAAGGAATGACTTCAGCATCCGAAGCCATATTTTCAGAAGAAATATATTTATAATCCGGAACGCTAAGGGTGACTTGTTGGTCGAATATTTTAGGAACTGCGTCATTTAAATCGGGACGAGTCTGAAAGGCAACACCTGGATATAAGAAATTAGGATATGAAAGTGACGAAGAGACACTTTCCGTGTTTTCTTCAAGGACACCAGAATCGAGATCAGTATATAAATAATCTGTGTCGAATAAACGGTGATTATTATTGGAATCTCTATGATGAAGATACGCTCTACCTACGTCTTTCACATCATGGTGCATATGAGCCTTAAACGAGATGATGGCTGATGTTGTATTTTCTTCAATCTTATTTCTTCCTAATAATTTAGAACGATTGGGAATAATTGTTTCAGAATTATCTTTGATATTCTTCAAAATGTACAAATCCTTAGAAACCGGTACTAACAGGAATCTTTCATTAGAATCCTTAGTTAAGTGATCATCCTTAGGTGAATCTTGTTTAATATTAAGTGAATTCTCTCTCCATTCAAACCTTTGAGTTGACTTAGAGTTTGACAAATCTACGTCGATAGGTGTTTTAGGAAGATACACAGAAAGTGGTATCTTGTTGATCAGTTTTTCAAAAACGGGGCTTCTTACGTATTTCGAATTTTGGAATTTGGAAATCGCTTTATTAGAGGAACGATAAGAATTTAAATTTCTCGATTGCGGTGTCATAAACATGGTGCGATTAATCATTTCTGTTCTTACAATCGTCGAATTTATTGCAGAGTTCAGATCAATTGTAGCAATCGTGGGTTCCGAAACTTGCCAAATTGGAAGTTCTCGTGTTTTCGATAAAGTGTCTTTCTCTTCATCAACATCTTTATCAATATCATTATTCTTGAAGGCATTTTGATTACTGGTGATGTCCTTAGCACGTTTCTTCCTTCTTCGCTTGATTCCTTCCAACTTGTTTATAATTTTGCGGCTTCGCGACAAACCGTCAAATCGATTGATTAACAACGATTGTCTTCTCCTCCGCTTCGTCTCCGGGGTCACTTTATCATCGACAAGTATCTCATCTCGTTCTGCTTCACTTTTCTGTCTGAAGATGTGCTTTATACCATTTTCTAAAATGTTTAAAAAGAGAAAAACTAGGAAAAACCGAATGCTATGAAAAATATATCTACGTATTATATAAGACCTTCACACTTAGAACGAAGAAATCCTTCGAGAAGAATTTAGTATACAATCCAAATAATTACCTGACGTTGTCCTGATGGTTTCACCACCGTCCGCGACCTTCGCAACATAAGTCGCAATGCAAAATACGACAAGAGGAACGATTCGCATAGCGTCATATCACGGGCATTCTTAGAGGCGATCGTATCGTGGCCGTTATTTTGCATGAATCTTCCATCGAGCATTATACAAGGGAAGGTACTGTCATGGAAAAGCAGTGCTTGTAGCGCTTCAATATGAAGTCCGTAACGATCCAGTAAAGTTTGCGATGATTAACGTAAGCGATATGTCGATAATTGACGAACGTTTCATACTCATATTCATAAATATACAGGGTTGGGTAATGACTAGTTAATGAGTTAAAAGTTATAACGTTACTAACTTTTAACGTAGCTTTTAGTTAATTTTAAATGTATTAATTTTTAACTAATTATTTTTGACCTTAAACTTATTAACTTTTTTTCTAAGTTCAGTTTTTTATCTTTGAACCATTATTGCTTTTTTATAAGTTATTACTTTTAAATTGAAATATTATTAATTTTTATGTTTATTTGTCATCAATGTTAATTATCAAAAATATATTTCTATATAATTTCTATATAAAATCAAAATTTCTTTGTTGTTTGTTATTATAAATTTTTAAAGAATTAATAAACAGAATTCTAATTTAATATAAATAATGTTTTTAAAAATTAACTTTTGATTTAACTTCAGTTAATTTAATCTTAATTTTAATTGAGTTAATATTTCGTTCAACTTTCGTGCAACTTTCAATTTAACTAAATTAATTTTATAAGCAACTATATATAACTTTAACTTAACTTAGCGGGGAGCACACACTCTTGCATAAGCGCATAAGTATATGCATAAGAAATTCGATTGGTTGAATTTCTTATGCATACGTTCATAGACCAATCAAGATTCTTATATGTTTACGCCTGTGCGCCTATGCAAAAGTGTGCGCTCCCCGCTTTAGTTTAATAAAGTTATTTACTTATCTAACCCTGCGTTTATATATTTATTTGTTCCTTTATTTTGTTAAAGATTAAATTACAATTTAATTTTTCGATTTATTATGTTTGTTTATTATTTAAGTCACAAACTCCTATTTTATATCATGCAGTATTAACACTAGAAAATTGTAGATAAAAATAATAAAATATTAACAAAAAATATGTATTTTGATATCTTCTATTTTCTTTCAAAATTTGTTGCTCTAATTTTTAACACTCTATATACAAGGTGTATTTGAATGGTCTGAACAAACTCCGGAAATAAGTTCAAGAGACCAAAACAAACAGAAAATGCTTCCTTGAAATCAAAACGAAGGCCATTTTGTGCATTTGCTATAGCAAGTAACAAGACAGTAGTCCTATTATATCCATAGAAATAAATATAAATACAGTTTGCAACTCTTATACGATTTAACGTGATAATTTCTTCTACTGCAAGAAAACTTCAAACGCGTTATAATTATAGAAAGAAGCATTTGCAACCCCATGTTTATAAGACATTTTCTGCTTGTTTCGGTCCCTGGAACATATATCCTGAAAGTTTGTACAGACCATTCAGATACATCCTGTATACATATATTATAGGGTATTTTATTTCATGTAATTTGTATAACTATTAGCAGCTAAGAATTTTTCTTAAGAACAAATATGTGTTTTCTTTTAATCAATATTGATTTCTCTCATTTTATACAAAAATATGGAAATAAGATCATAATAACAATATTTTATATTTGAGTAAAATTATGTTAAATTCTCAAAAAATGAATATTTTATGAGATATATTTTATAATTTACGTAAAATTATGTCAAATTAAAAAATACAAAATATTTCATAAACTATTCACCTTTTGGCCATTTTATATAACTTTTTGTCTAATGTCAAATATTACGAAGAATCGATTTATAAAAAAATTAGAAGGATTTCATTTAAAAAAAAATTAAGTGTCGATCTTCAAATAATTTTGAAATATAAAATATCAAGCTTTTCTTCAAAACCATTTATGTATCAAATATTTTTTATATTTGTCGTATATTATTATATAAAACATTTTTTATATTTCCCTCATTAGACATAATTTCAGAAATTATCTAACTTAATAAATTAAAATAAAAATTTTGTTATTCAGACTTCGCAACACATACTTGAAATATCGGGAAAAAGGACTTGTTAAAACGATAATCATATTTAAATGTCGCATAACTTGGCATCTCAGACCAATCGCCTTGCACATCTATTAGTCAACAGCGAAAAATCGTTTTAATTTTATATTTTAATATTTAACTAACTTTGTATTTTTAACATTTAACTTTGTATTTTAATATTTAACTTTTATGTATTGATAAAGACTGCAGTGCAGTCGAAACGTTTACAATTTATATCGTTTCTGTAACGGAATGTTAATTTAATTATTTAACTATTAATAAATTTTTACATCTTATTTACTTGCTCGTTCAGTTGGCCTACTATATTTGATTTGTTTAATTTTGTTAAAATAAAAATATTCAACTATATGTATACCGGGTGGGTCATTTTAATGTCCCACTCCAAATATTTTATTTCTTACGCCTTTTACCAAAAAAATATTTCCTACAAAGTTGTAGGTTTTAAAGGGAACAAATATAGTAATATTATATGACCTTAAATACAGAATAGCACCATCAAGAACACATAAAAATCACTTTGAATTTTTAAATCAACCCCTTATTTATTTTCATTACATATTCTTGTAGCTTATCTCGAGAGCCCAAAACACTATAATAAAATTTTTTTATTAAGTAACATCCATATCTTATTAATTCTTTATTGATGCACAGAATAATGAGAACAAATCAATTGGTAAAACAGAAATA